GGAGCCAAATAGGCAAGTGATTCCATGTCATTGGTGCCTCAGTTTCTCCATCTGTGAAGTGGAGATAATGATAACTAGAGTGCTCTTCTCAGAATGCAGTGAAGGTGAAGGAGTATGGGGCACAAGAACAATGTCCGCTCCATAAAAAATGCTCAGAAAATGTCCATTGCCTCATGTTTGGGAATAGAGCTGTTTGCATGTGTATGTGCATACATGCATATGCACATGTTTGTGTATTGGAAAACTATAAGCAGGAAGAAAAACAGCATATAAAATTTAAGCAATACCAAGTTACAAGTTCAATATATGGACAAATAAGGGGAAAACACATGGATAGGGAGATTTCTTGAAGCATTGTTTATAATACTAAAAATAATAGATCTAACAAATCTGTCCGTTAATGTCTATTACTTTAAGGGGAGGAATAAGACAAAATACTAATCAGATACTACCAAAAAATAAAGTAACTTTAAGACTTACTTTCCTCATATGAGGGGACATTTAAATCAATTCCAGCTCATGGAGTGATGGTGAGGATTTGATAATCTGAGGCACATAAAATATTTATCAAGATGAATGAGTATGGAAGACAGACTTTTCCCTCTATACCCTTCTGATTTATTCAATTTCCCACACAAAGAAGTATGTTTTCCTTCTATAACTTAAAAATTAACCATTCCCATGTTTGTCAATTAAGAAAAAGTTTAAAAATTGGTAAGTGATACAACTTAACAGGGGAACTGGAATGTATTTGAAGTTTAAAGTGAAAGTTGGAAAGTGTCTGTCCCAGAGTATATAACATAGAGACTTAGCTGCTATCGGAATCTTGGATGAGGCCCCAAAGGTTTTCCATTTATCACAAAAGCAAAGACTCAATTAGCTAATTTCTAGAGTTAGCTCCACTTGACGTCCTGCATCCAAGTGTCTCCCCTCCTGCTGTCTGTGGTCACTTCATCCTAGCCTCCATGATCAGCCAGTTCATTTTCTATGTCCCAGCTTGATCCTAAGTAGAAAGGACTCTGTGGACTGACTTTAACTTTTTCAGGTCCATTTGCCTTTGATACAGTGCCCTGGGCTTGCAAACTGAGCCTTGTCCTCAAGAACAAATTTCCATCTATAGCAGGAAGGTTGCAGGTCATGGAGGTTCAGGACAGGGACTCAGTGTTCCTAACCATGGGATCCTGGGCAAAGTGTAGACCCTATAGCTTCACTTCCATCCCCTGTAAAAATGAGAGTAATAATGATGCCTGTCACATGCAACTGATGAGAGCATTAACAAGTTCACCCATATCTAGTGCACGGATAATGGAGTCAGCTTTGTAAAAGTCTCTGTCTTTTTGTTTTTATAAATAGTGATAATTATTATAAAAGCCACAGATATTCACTACTGTAGCATCAAATATGCCAAATATATGTGTGTGTATGTGTGTGAATATCTACAACAATGAATTTCTGCAATTCTCATCATCATAAACATATAGATCTCACTGCACATATGACTTTATGACCTTTCTCACATCAAATAGTTAATAAGTAATACTACTAAGTGTCATTTATTGAACAATAATTATGACACAAAGGACAATCTTAATTTCTTTACTTGTATGATTACACCTACTATCACTCAGGTAAGTATGATTATTCTCCATGACATTGATGAACAAACTGAGGCTTAGAACAAAGAAGTAACTTGTTTAGGATCAAAGGTGGAGACACAGAAGATTCAAGTTCAGTTTCCTCACCCCTAACTTAGTGCTTTGAATCACTATGTTACTCTGCTTCTGCTGATGCCCCTCAACCATCTTTTACATCATTTTTAGTAGCCACATTATATTCTATCACATGGATGCATTGTGGTGTATTTCAGCAATCCATTCTCTTTGGACTTGTAAACTGCTTTTAATTTTTCACATGAATAAACATTTTCTTATGTGTCTGGTATATAATGAATGCCTCATAAATATTTGGAGAATGAACATTGCTAAAACATTCTTACAGGTAACTCTTTAAATATATTTATTTATTTGTTTCAGATATATTCCTTAGAGGGGGAATTGCTGGGTCAAAACATGTATACACAGAAGTTGGTAACATGGTAAATAGCCTGCATTCTTGGGAAGGCTCTTATTGGAGAGTCTTCTTTAAGGGCTCCCCAAGTATGGCTTATCATCTTTAGGAAGTGTCAGGGTTGCTGCCCATCTGTCTGGCAGGGGCTTATCCAACAAACTCAACACAACAATATTTCCCCAGTGCTTTCTGCTAAACTTGGCTTGCCCCATCAGCTGTCTGGTGTCTGCTGGACCTTAGCACTTGGGACCCTCTCAACCTTCTTCAGTAGAGGAAAGTTATTGGTTAACAACACAGTTTCTTCAGTAAGAAAGACTTGGTTCACACTTTGCCTTGTTTTCTCTGCATGACTCTGAGCAAGTTATTTAAGCTATCTGACCCATACTTTCTGCATCTGTAAAATGGGTATACATGGAAATGGTATAATGAAACTCCCTATATAGCTATCTAATAAAACAAAAATGTCCTTTTTCTAAAACAAAGGACAGGAAGGTAAAAACAGGTCTTGTCTGTGGGTTGCAGCAGTGAAAGGGGAGAAGATATAAGGAAAGGGTGAAGGAGGGTGAAAATGGTGGAAATATGTATTTACATGTGAAAATGGAAAAATGAGACCTATTGAAACTATTTTAAGGAGGAGGTGAGGGAAATAAAGAAGAATGATGGAGGAGGTGAATGTAACTAAGATATATTGTAAGCACTTTTGTAAATGTCACAATGTATCCCAATACAACAAAAGAAAATTAAATGAAAGATAGAAATGGATATGATAATAATAATAATACCTCTTTGAGTCATTTTGAGAACTCAGTATACACAGTGTCTGGCATATCACAGCAACTCAAGGATTGATGTTGGCCTGTGAAGACCAATATGGTAGCCACCAGCATGTGTGGTTTCTCTAATTTCAATTAATAAAAATGACTTAAGACTAATAATTCAAGTCTTCGGTCACATTGTAGTTATATTTCAAGTGTTCAATAGCCACATCTGGCTAGAAACTACCTTATTGGAATGCACAGACACAAACCATATTCATGTTTGTAGAAAGCCTGTTGGACCATGCTGCTCTAATTGGACCCCTTGCTCAACTAGTAACCGGGTCTGAGGGCAAAGCCCCCCGGAAGAAACAGCAAGTGGAGGAAGTCGTCTTGGTAATGTCTCTGTCCTCTCTTCTTGAAAGGAAGCCTCATGCATCCCTTTCTTCAGCCCTGAGAACCCAATTCCTTCCTGCATTTTGAATTTCATCCAGCTGCTTTTGTCACCTCATCTATCAGAGATCCTAAGAAAAACAAACATTTCAAAGCTCGTGGTCGCCTTGAATATGCTTTTGTGGGTGTAAGTTTGTTATCGTAGCTCAGTGAATTAGTTCTGCTGTTAATGGGTCACTGAGCTGAGAGGTTCCTTTAAAAAAACAACAGAAAATCAATCATGCTTTAGATCTGTACAAAGGGGAACCAAAAAAAAAAAAAAGATTTAGTTTATGGGGGTCTGGTAGCTGGTGGCAGCTCCTGGCCCTTAAGAGGCCGGCAAACTTCCAAATTCATGTTATTGTTTATTTTCCATGTGTGTTGAGCTGGCCAAGGAAAGGTGCTACAGAAATGGAACGTAAGTAGGACAGGGCACCGGATATGCAATGTCAGTGTGGCTGGGAATGGGAGCCCAGTGGGAATCTGCTTTTGAGGAAATACCCAGTGCTGGTCACTCTCTCTCTCTCTCTTTCTCTCTCTCTCTCTCTCTCTCTCTCTCTCTCTCTCTCTCTCTCTCTCTCTATATATATATATATATATATATATATATATATATATATTAGAGCCCCAAAACTAAGGACTTTTTATGCAACCAGAGGTGGGTTATTAACTTTTCAAGAGATGCCAGCTTTAGACTGTGAAAACCTCCTACTGGAAAGGCCCCTGGAAATCATCAAGTAGGAAGCAGGAAAACCACTGTGGATCTTTTGGGTTTCAATGTCAGAATCCTCTCTTCAAATGCAACCTGCATCAAAATCCCAAAAGAGATGTAAAGTAGTTGGAAGGTGCCTTTCTTGGGTCAAACAGTAATGGGAATCTACAGCCCTACTCCTATATCCACACAGAGTACATCCTCCCCACCATCTCTGAGGAACAGGGTACAAAAATCACCCAGCTCATTCAGTTTCCCCATCCAACCATCAGCTAGGTCTCTTTGGGAACAGCACAAGAGTAGAAAAGTAAAAAATACTTGTTGCTAGATGTGGGACCTGGAGCAAATGATTGCAGCAAGCTTCTTAGGGATGGGTGTCTTATTCTGATTTGCCAATGGTGTTAAAAGGGCTCATGGTGGCATTAATGTGTCATATGCTACAGGGCATCCTAGAACCTAGAGCATGAATCCTTAACACAGCTACTAATGGAATAGAAAAGGGCTATGACATGACACATGTAGTTAGGAAAAACACCATACCCAATTTCATGTAATCATTTTGTATTTGCAAAACGAAAAGCATTCTTTTTCTTTTTGCTAAAAACTGTAGTATATGAAAATTTTATTTATCTAAGGGAAAACTGGGTTTAATATAAAGGTTCAACAACCCATTAGCTTAGAAAAATACAGCTGTGAAACTATGAGATCAAGTCCAAAGATTCCATTTGCTTGAGAAAAGTGAAGCCCACCAAGGGGATGACCCAAAGCATTAGGACTTGCTAGCTCTTTTACCTGGATTTCCTAGTTTTTGATCCCAGTTATTTCCCCTGGTGTGTCTTTCTACAAAGCTTTGATATGCAATGCTTTCCCCGTGCTCCTGAGATGCTCATGGAAGGAACATTATTCTGATTCTTTGGATATCAATTCCTGAGGGTTGTTCAAGGTTACCCTGAACCAAGACTAGAACCCAGGTCTGACATCCAGTCCTATGTAGAGATAAGACTATGCATGCCCAAAGAAGTGTAGGACCCTACCTGCATAGCTCATGAAGTTGTTGTACGGAGTATTGATGAAGCTATGAAAGCCACAAGTGTCATTTTCTGGTCCTGGGTCTCCACAAAACTTGTGTTTGGGGGCTGGGTTGGTGTCATTGCAGAGGTCTCCAGTCTCGAAGGAGGGCTCTGTCTCCATGCAGGGGTCGCTGCAGGACTGGATTTCTGAAATGCCACGGAAGATGTGATAGAGGCCCAGGCTGTGCCCAATTTCATGGATCATGGTGTGAGTGTGTCCAGGAATGCCGTAGAAAGATGGGTTCAAGACCATCCCACCTGCAAGGCGAAAGCCAGAGTATTAGGACAGGTGTCTGTTTTCTTGTTGCAAGAACCTCCAAGTCAATGAAGGATAAAGGGGTGCTGCCCAGAATAACAGGTTTCTCAACCCTCTGACTCCACTGTCCTGAGTGTTTTTACAGTCTGGGTCATGAATCACTGGTTACCCAAGCAGACAGGAGTCGCAAGAAGTATTCTGTGTCACCTTTCATTTTTTAGATGAAAACACTAATGCCTGAAGAAAAAAAACCCATCTTTCCTAAGGTGATTTTAAACGATTTTAAGAGAGGCATGATTAAAAGTCAGGATTTTTGGTCTCACAAGCCTTTCTGCTACAACCAATTCCTTAAAAAGGAAGTCATATACTGGTTTATACACATTCTAGGTGCTCTTATCTAAATGAAGCCTTCACACCGACTTAGTCGCCTTGGTTCCAGCTCACATTTTTGCTTTCACTAGCTCTGATAGTGCACAAGTTGACTATCACTGCTACATGCTATTTCTTCATCTCTGATGTTCTAAAGCCAAGAGCACTCAGGAAAGCCAGCACCAGGTTGTGCTACAAGATAACAGTGCTCAGGCCAGTTGAGCATTTTTTTATTACCCTCAGGTGCTATGTTGAATATTTCATTAGTCTACTTACATCTACTTATTTCATAACTCAATGATAAAGGAACAGATTCACAGAGAACTGAAACGACTGGCCCATGATCAAGAGTAAGTGTGGTATTGAAATTTGAACTCAAGATCCTTGGGTTTCAAAGCCAAGGTTTGTCCCTAGTAATACCTACCACAGGGCATGGAATAGTATCTCATTAAGTATGCATTGAATATTTCTCAAAGTCAATTAATCAGAAGAGGGTTGCAAAGACTAACTAACCACTTGTAAGCAGGTAGATTAACCTGTGAGGAAGATCAACTGTGCCATTTGTCCACCCAAAGGGGAATTGAGCATCTTAAACACTACCTAAGAACTGAGCAGAAATGCTGAACTTCAGGCCTCAGCTCAGATCCTAGATGACTTGTGTGTGAGGTGTAGACTGAGAAGCAGTGGCTTATACCACATGTCCTAGAAGAAGGAGCATCACTTAGCTTGGGAGGTAGATGGAACAGATTTCAACAGAAGCAATGGATAGTAGCATTCATTTTAGGACACAGGCTGATAGAGACATCCAAATGTATTTAAGGCAAGGTTAAAATTCAGGTATGAAAACCTTGTAAGTAGATATTTTAAGTGCAGAACAGAATAGTAATAAGGTAAGACTTTCCTGACTTGGACTGATTAGCCCAGAGCAGGCATAAGTTAAGTTTTATCATGGACCGAACTGCTATAGTTGTGAGCTTGTTCAGTTCATGGAGTTCATTAATTCTGAATTGCTCAGAGACTTCTAATCCAAATATAAAGATGTACGTGTGTGTGTGTGTGTGTGTGTGTGTGTGTGTGTGTGTGTGTAGAGACAGGTAGAGGCAAGGAGGAAGAAAAATTGACACAGGATTTCTTTCTCAATTATTTTCTGTCAATCATAATATGAAACGTAATTCCTTTCCCACCCAAGGCTTTTTCCAGGGATCATGGCATAACAGCAGGAAAAGAGAGTAAAAAAATATGGTTCTAATAAATTGAGTTTGATTGGGGCTACTGCATAGGAATTGCTCATGATCTCCTTCTCTTGGGATGGGGATGTGGCAGCTTGCAGGCCAGCTGAGTTAGCCTGATATGGGCTGCAATCTTCATTTTTCTTTACATTAGACTTACGATCTTGAAAAATTGACTTTGCATCTCTGATAAACTCTAGCTAAGTAGCTACAACAGTGCAAGTGATTGCCAATCTTTCCATGAAGTTTGCATATGAAAGTACAGGGAGACAGGACCATTCAAGGGATGATGATAGTACAGCAGACTTAATTTCCAGGCTGACTCTGTTCTACCTAAATTCATCCCTTTCCACAGAGTGACAACACTAGGCCCAAGTCCTGTTTAACTGTTTCTCTTAAAAGGTAAAATAGCTTGAGCCTGACATCATTCTGAAATACTGTAACATGCTATGGATTTATAGCTGCCTATATTCCTGGCCCTGAGCCATTCTTTGATATTCATAGAATTATCAGGAGTACTTTTCTTTTTTTTTTCTCATATAGCTCTCTGTTTTTATTGTGGTAAAGTAGCTACAATCTACTCATTTAGCAAAAATCTCAAACATAATACCGTAGGAGTACTTTTCTTTAACTTTAGAAGCCTGCTGTTCAATTCTCCTCATACTCCAATCATGGCCTTTTTGGTTGCTTTTCATTAGGGCAGAATTTCAGAGCTGAGAAGGATTCTTAAAGACCATCCCATTTAATCTACCTCTTTAAAATCTTAGGAAACTAAGTCCTGGGGAAGAAGAGACTTTCCTAAGACCACACTTCTAAGTAAAGCCACACCTGAGAGCATCTATTTTTGTTCTGTTCTAATATGATTCTCCAAAATCATACTAGGCATGTACTAAAATATGATCATCTTCAAGTTTGCCTGGGTTGTACACTATTCTGCCCAATGCCTTTCTGTGTCTGTCTGTCTACCTACTCACCCATCATCTATTCCAGAGTTTCTTAATCTTAGCATGATTGACATTTTGGAGTGCACAGTACATTATAGGACATGTAGAAACATTGCTGTCTTCTACTTACTAGATGCCAGCAGCATGCCCCCATTGTAAGGTTTCTAGACATTGCCAAATGTCTCCTTTCTTAGGGGACACACTCTCTCAATTGATAACAACTATAGATTTGCATCTATCTCAATTTATACACATACACACACACACACAAGCACACATGCACATACAATTGGTTTTATTCTTTTAAAAACAATTGAGAAATAAGAGTAGTTTAGACAGACCTAAGTCTATAGTTCAGTTCAGCACAGTTTTCATCATCTGAAGGTATAAAATCTCTCATCTCTAAGAGATCACAGGTTTAGAGGAGCTACTGGGTTCTAGGTGTGTCATAGGGTGACCAGGCAGACCTGGGGGTACATCTAGCATGACAACTCTGCTGAGCCTGACATTCTCAATGATAATGGTCACTGAGTCATCAGAAGCTATTGTTGTAAATAATGGGAACATTCTACCATTGGAAAATTGGTTGAATCAATTATAGTACCCTCACTCAAAGGAATATTACATGACTATTAAAAATTTCACCTTTAGAGAAGTGTAAATAACTCAAAGAGTTTTTCTCTTATGATTTTAAATGAAATAGTTGGATGGGAAGTAATTACAAAACTATTTTATAGTATAGATAGCACAATATTATATGGAAATGAACATAAAATTGTATCTATTTTATGATTTCAAATATGCACAAGTTAAAAAATGCATATCTACATGTAGACATGTATTGGACAAGAATATGGAAAAATCAAAATTAAAGAGCTCCAATCTTTACTTACAGGCCCTGGTTCAGAAACCATTGTCATTTCTGACTTAGATTGTATAAACGTATGTTTTGTTTATGAATATGCCCAATTTAAATGTAAGAAGTGTTCCTAGTGTTGTTGAATATGGAGGACAAGGAATTCTTGCAGATTCAATTTATCTTGCCTCTTTGGTGTCTACAGGGTCAGTCTGCTCCTGACTATGCCTGTACAATGTGGCTGCAGGCTAATGATGTATGAATAAAATAGGAGAAAGGAGTTATAAAGAGAGAGCAGTCAGGGAACAGAGTCAGAAACTTGAATTCTAGTTGCAGCTCTGTCACTTACATGTGACCTTGGTAAAACATGACTAAAGTATTGTGCTATTTCCTTCAGAGCATTGCTTGATGGTTAATATAAGATGAAGTATACCAAAGAATTTTATATATTAGATAAATAAATGGTTTGTTCACCATCACCACTGCCACCTGTATCATTACAATCATGATGGATCATCCTCACTATCAAATTTGATACTCTCTTACTCCAAGTTCTCTCTCCAGGAGTTTCTAAGACTCACCTAAGTGCATTAGGACCTCTTTGTCCCATGGCCAAGTTGCTACTCCTGCCAACTCCTCCTCTGAGGAGTTTGCAAAGAAAATATTGAGGTGTGTTGATCCATCCAATCTAAGAATGTTCTTCAGCTCATTAACATCCATGTAGGCTCTGAAACAGAAAAAGAACCTTGGCTATCATCACCATCCAAAAAAGGTACTATTCAAATAAGAGGTACTCCCCAAATAATTATGAGCTATTATTTGCCAGACACTTTGCTCGACTCTATATAAACACCACTTCATTGACTATTCCTGAATCTGTAAGATAAGATGACCCCATTTTGTAGGTAAGAAAAAATAAGTCCTGTGAGGTAAGAGAGACTTGCAAATATTGTTCATCTTATAAATAACACGGTTTCCTGCTGAATGCACAACATCTCTACCTCTATGGAATCTGCTATTTTGACCAAGGATCTATAATAACACAGGTCGAATTCACAAACTGTGGTGAGATAACATGTGTTTGAGTCTTTGCTTCTCTCTTTCACTCATTCACTATGGACCTTGGACTATTTGGAAAATGTGGAGCTGTACTAGAAGATGTGCTTTGCATCTCTACATCAAGTTTGTAAGGAGGCATTATTACTTTGCTTTTAAGATGAGCCACCTGTAACCCAATGTTTTTAAATAGGTAGCTCAAAGAACTGGGGTTCAAGGTTAACACTGGCTAGCTTAGAAACCTAGTCTCTTCTCATTGAGATACATGCTGCCACACATAGACTCTTCTGCATTTTGTAAAACTCTATTTTCTTTCCTGTAAAAAGACTACAGAAGGATTTTGTATATTGGGTTGCTGTCATTGCAGAGTGACATATCTTAGGAATGAACTAACTCCTAAAGCTACAGTCATTATCTCTTTAATATGTGGGAAAAAATGTGTGTAAGAACAAGAGTAAGAGAAACAAGAGAGAGAGGGGAGATGGAGAGGGAGAGATAGAGGAGAGAGGAAGAGAAACAGGGGAGAGGGAGAGATAGAGTAGAAAGGGAGAGGAAGAGGGAGAAGGAAAAGAAGAAATAGGGGGAGGAGAGGAGAAGGGGAGAGAGAGAGAGAGAGAGAGAGAGAGAGAGAGAGAGAGAGAGAGAGATTGCTAGTGTAAAGAGAGTGGAATATTTTTAATGTACTAGGTGTACAAGAAATAAGAATCACTGCTCAGGTAGTATTACTCTCTTATCAGAACAGAAATGAATATGAAGGACCACCTTCCACTTTAGGTCAATAACATGTGTATTAATTTGTGGCTCATTTTCTAAATAGAGCAATGGATCTTGCTCCCTTCTCATGCTTCCTCCAGCCCCCATTTTGTCTGTCATCAGTATTTTAAGGATCCTTGTAAGTATTTGCAAACATTCTTTTTTTTTTTTTTTTGCTTTTAAACCAGTCTTTAATTTTCAATTCAGGTTTAAGGAGGAACATATACACAAACATCAATTCAAGGAAAATCAAGAATGTGGAGTATAAACATGTATGGCAGATGCTACTCCATGAGTATTTGCAAACATTCTTGAATGAGCTTGGAAAAGAATTCATGCCTTCACCTGGGTATATATACCACTCTTTTGGGGCTATCTGGGGGCAGGGAAGGTGTCTTATTTATCTCTGTTTATCCAGTTTTCAGCTCAGGTCTTGATACATGGTAAGCATTCAGAAAATGCTGATAGAGATGAATTTAAATTGAAAAAAAAAAAAGCTAAAATATTTAAATCCCTCTTTGATTCAGCAATTCCTGACCACAAGGCCTCAGTTTCCTCATCGGCCCATTAGGATTAGTAGCATCTGCATGTGCTACTACATCTATTCCAATGTAAACAGGATAGGCCTGTTACCTACAGTGTTCTCCAGGCCACTCACATAATAGAGAGCCCCAAGCTCATGAGATCAAATGATCATGTGATCTCCATCTTTATGGCTTGTCAGAAAACATGTTAACAAGTGTTGCAGATACTAATGGAGCTTGAACTAGCTAATTCCAAGAACAGCCATACAAGTTCAGATACTGACCCACAATTTTGCTGCTGATTCCTCTGCCCCAGGAGCCTACATTTGGTTTCTTGAACAGGAAGCCTCAACAGACTGGAACTCTAAATCAGTCTGTTCAGTCATCAGAGAAGGAAAAAGGGGTGAAGAAGCCCACATTTACTAAACACTTGCTGTATGCCAGCTCCTGTGCTAGCTAGACATGTTGTTTCTTCTCTATTTGGTATGTGAAGCATTGTAAGTGTATAAGGTGACTTGTTCTCATGTCAGAGCTTCACATTTGAATCACCAGTACTTTCACTTGATGTTTGAACCATGCTGGGACATATATTTAACTTTCTGGGTCCCACTTTCTTTATATATAGAATAAGTTATTCAGAGGATGAAGAAAGTTAACAGGAGAAATGTAAAGGGCTAAGATGATGGCTGGAATGTAGAAAACCCTCTATGGAGTTTTAGCAATTCCTATCATTTACCCTCATCTTACAGATGAAGGAACAGCAGTTCAGAAATCACAGAACTAATGGCAAAGCCAAGTGCAATTTCAGATCTGTCCCTTCCCACCACCTCACCCTCATTTCCAAGGTTACTCAGGCTTATGGTGCAAAGGAAAGTAATGCATGGGAGGAGAATGAAAACACAGAGGAGCACAATTTTCTTGGATCAGCCTTTTCCACATTATTTATTTTTTTTTCTACTTGATTTGTCCATTTCCATCAAGTGTTCTCTCAGGCAGGGAACACAAATGTTATTAGAGAAAGCCACCTCTGGCCCATTGCTCTGGGATAAGAAAGCTTCATGAGAGGAAGACATAGGGTGGGGTAATAGAAGGGGAGATGTTTTAATTAGTTGTTTATTCAGTGGTAATTGCAGAACCCATCTTTTCAAGGGGTGGCATTCATCCTAGCCCAAAGCAGAAATGTGGGATGTTGGAGCTACTCTCTGGCTTGTTTGTGGGGTTCTCTCATACTTTGGGAAGCTTCCATTTCCCGAACGGGGAAGAATCCATGGCACTTAGCCAGGCTTTTGGCCCCACTGGCCTCTCTCCTCCCCATTTCTCTTTGGAGGATCCACCCAAAGGAAAAAGCAGCCTGTGCCTAAAAGTTTTCCTTCTGTTGACTGAGGTCTTCTACCAATACAGAAACAACCTGGGTGTCTCCCAAATATATCAGAGGGAAAAATCTTGGGGACAAGATTTTTCCTTATCCTTTGAAAATGGTATTTTTGTCAATGGATAGAGGCAACATACAGGAGATCAAATTTAGAAGGAATAAGGAAAATGACTTGCTTAGGGCCCCTTAACTTGCAACTGTAGGAGGTTGGTCCTATGTGTATATTATAAATTGGACAAATTTATTTTTAAAAATCTTACACCTGAGAAAAATCAACCCAAATCCAAAACAATGTGTTTATACAATGTGTTTATTAATTTACATACTAGTATTACTTAGAGATAGACAGAAAGACCAGTATTCATGGGCAAGTTACATAAAGTTCCTGAGTCAGCTACCTCGTGGGAATGCTAACAGGATTAAATGAACCAGCTCAGCTCAGTGCCAACACACATCCAAAAAATGTGGGCTCCTCTCCATTTCCTAGCCTCCTGTTTTCTTCCATTGGGAAAGAATCAAAATTGGCAGTCCCTCTCTTCATGGTTCTCCCAGTCTCAGCTTAGAGCCTCTTCCCCATCATCAACTTTCTTTCTCCTCTTTCAACCTCAACCACTGAGGTTCTCATAGTTTCCTTGTCCTGAGACCCCTGCATATTCCCCAATTATGCCCACTCTCCAATTACATCCATTAGTTTCCCTCTTCTATGATCAAATTTAGAAGGAATTTTAATTTTTTTAAATCTTCCCTACTCGTAAATCCAGATTACACGTAACACACTCCATGTAGCTTCAGCTGAACAATGGGCCTCCACCTCTCAGATGTATTTGGGAAGACTAGAGGAAAACACAAATACTGTGTTTAGGATCATGGCTGGCATACAGTGGGCACTTACTGATAAGTTTAGGCTACTTTTATTGCATTACTGTTAGTACGGTGACAAATTGTTAAAACTCCAAAATCATCATTACCCTTAACTGAAAATGAGTCCTCCTTTCTCTGTGCCCCTGCTTTTAATTTCAGTACTTATCACCCTGCTTTATTCACAGTGTGAGCACCTGTATTCTCCATTGGATTTTAGGCTTCAGGCAGGTAGGTCCAAATCATTATCATCTCTGCATCCCTTAAAATTTTCCTCCAAGAGACACAGCTACTACCAAAAGGAGTTAATAAGTACTTCTCTCTCAAGCCACATGGTGTCAAAAGAGGTTAAGCAACTATAGGGCCCAGAAGTGAAGTGACTTGCCCAAGGCCACATATTGAATAAATGACATAGAGGAACTTGGCAGTGAATCTCTATGCTCTATCCTTTGTACATGTGTGGTACAGCACTACTGTACCAGTTAGTGAAATCACTTCCTTTAGGAAGAAACAGTTCCCCTGTAAGGGTACAACAATGAGAGAGAAGGCAGCCCACACTCTCTCCTCAGCTGGACACCCTTATGCAGAACCTGCATGGATATCTGACCTCATCTCAGTACAGTCCGCTGCCTATTCTGCAGTTCATAGGCCAGGTCTGTTCAGTGAGTTTGTGAGCTAGGTCAGCATTGTCCAGCTTACAGTCAACGGAAGGCAAAATCACAAGAAGCAAATGAGTAGCCAAAGGAAAAAATTTGGAATTGATGCATTTAGGAAATGCTCTTTTGTACAAGGTTAAATACATATATTTTTATTGCAAGAATTTTCAGTCTTAAATATGCAAAATGAGAGTAAGGCAGAAAGTACTGGAAGCATTCTCATATTTGAGTACAACTCCCTCCCCCATTCTTCCAGCTTTGCCCCAAACCAAATGATAGCACAACCAATGCAGTTTAGGAATGCTAAGACAGATTGGAATGTTCCTCCTTATTTAGATCCTCTCAGGGGTGCTGTCTGTGTCTCTTTTCTTCCTGCATAACACATGCACCTGGATTCCACCGTAGAGGTTGTGGGTCCCCTGGAATGTCTGTTTCAGGGGGGCCCAGCCCTGATTGCCAAGGCGCCCAGACTTTACCCCTTTGCCAGAACTGCATTTCAAAGCCATGA